GGAAATAAATCGCATGTTTATTTTAGATCTGTGTGGTAGCAGCAATATACAGTAAATAAATCAATAAATCCCCTGCTCTGTTATCTCCTCTGAGGCTGGAACTCTAAATAGGGTTCTGTGCTCGTCTGTGCAGCCAAAGACAGAACAGTTAGCATGTTTTGCTCAAACTTTCGAACCGTTGTCGCTTGCGAAATCAAATGACTGAGCCATGGGTGGAAACTTACAGATTAAGAGGCAGTAATATTATAATGAGATCCCTTTGCCACGTCACCAAGGGAGCGAAATCAGACGCGCTCATTTTTTCAGAGGCTTGCAGAAAAAGGCTTACCAAAACAAAGTTACTGGGTTAATCTTTTTCACGTTTCCTTGGTTGATATATGCACCGGGGACCTGATTATAGCACTTAAAACCTGGAAAAGTCAGATTTTCATGATATGTCACCTTTAAATCTCAGAGGATATAGCAGAGGTTTTCCAAAAAGTGGGCATAATGTATTGCATGTAAGCTGTGTTCCTTGAAATAGTAAATATTATTATTATTATTATTATTATTATTATTATTATTATTGTTATTATTTCTTGTGTTTCACATAGTCATTAACAATTACATTTACATTTATGCATTTGGCAGACATTTATCCAAAGCAAATTACATTGCATTCAAGGTATACATTTACATTTTATCCATTCTTGCTTTCCTTGGGAATCAAACCTATGACCTTGGTTTTGCTAGCACCATACTCTGTTTGAGATATCATATGAACTATTTCTCTCAAGAGCTTATTATTATTTTTGGAAAATAGTATTATTTTACCTAAAACCTTAAAGGGGTCATATGATGCTGCTAAAAAGAACATTATTTTGTGTATTTAGAGGATATAGCAGAGGTTTTCCAAAAAGTGGGCATAATGTATTGCATGTAAGCTGTGTTCCTTGAAATAGTAAATATTATTATTATTATTATTATTATTATTATTATTATTATTATTATTATTGTTATTATTTCTTGTGTTTCACATAGTCATTAACAATTACATTTACATTTATGCATTTGGCAGACATTTATCCAAAGCAAATTACATTGCATTCAAGGTATACATTTACATTTTATCCATTCTTGCTTTCCTTGGGAATCAAACCTATGACCTTGGTTTTGCTAGCACCATACTCTGTTTGAGATATCATATGAACTATTTCTCTCAAGAGCTTATTATTATTTTTGGAAAATAGTATTATTTTACCTAAAACCTTAAAGGGGTCATATGATGCTGCTAAAAAGAACATTATTTTGTGTATTTGGTGTAATGAAATGTGTTTATGCGGTTTAAAGTAAAAAAAAACACATTATTTTCCACATACTGTACATTTATTGTTTCTCCTCTATGCCCCGCCTTTCTGAAACGCGTCGATTTTTACAAAACTAATCGGTCTGAAAAGCGAGGTGTGCTCTGATTAGCCAGCTATCCAGTGCGTTGTGATTGACCGAATACCTCAAGCGTGTGACGGAAATGTTACGCCCCT